CTCTGGTGTGGTTTGCTTTTTCTTTCCTATCAAACATCTATCGTCCTTATCTCCCCTTCTTCTTTTTTATGTTTGTTACTCTCTTGTAACACTTCTACTCTTCTGGCGCTCATATGACCTTATGAAGTTGCGAGCGCCGTAAAACCTCTACTAAAACTATAAAGAGCTGAAACAACCAATAAAACAAATCCCCTCTTTCTGTTTTGTGTTTGTTACTCTCTTGTGGCACCTCTATTCTTCTGCATTTATACTCTGACCTTATTGTGTAGCAAGTGCCGTAAAAGTAAAACACTTACTAAAATTAAAACTGAAACTAAAAACTGGTTTTTTTTCTTTCTTGAACCTAGATCCCAACGCAGTCGCGACCGCCACCCCTACCCCACTCGCCACCACCCCTGTCATCACCAGCAGCAGCAGCAACACCACCACACCAGCGACAACATCCACAGTAACCCCAACAGCAGCAACAACAATTTCCCCTCCTGGAAGTACTCCGATCACCATCGACAACAACACCACCAGCCCCGAAAGTGACGTCACGGATGCGTTCAACGTCACCACCAGCCCCGGAAGTGACGTCACGGATGCGTTCAACGTCACCACCAGCCCCGGAAGTGACGTCACGGATGCGTTCAACGTCACCACCAGCCCCGGAACTGACGTCACGGATGCGTTCAACGTCACCAGCACCCCCGGAAGTGACGGGACACGCCCCTCGACCACTTCCGGCCCTCCCCTCTCCACTGTGGTCACAGCTGACAACACGACCGAAGCCGAGAATGCCACAACAGCGCCAACGCCAGCAGAATCTACACCACCACCAACAACTACAGCAGCAATGACGACAGCAACAACAATGGTGTCGGAGAACTCTACGGACAACGCTACTGCAGCAACAGCAGCAACAACAACACCAACAGCTGAGGGATCGACATCAGCAACAGCATCAGATCTCAACACGACTATGGTGACCGACGTCGCGCCGACGACGCCAGAAAATACTACGTCCGACGCGACAGCTGCGACAACAACCGATTTCGACAACTACAACGCCACCACCATCACCACCACCGCTGCAACAACAACGTCGGCGCCAGAGAATACAACAACGGTAGAGGTTGCAAACACCACCGACAGCAGCAGCAGCAGCAATACCACTGTGGTGGCTACGACGCCATCATCATCACCGACGTCAGCAACAACAGCAGAGGCGGATTTGAAGACGTTGTTGGTGCAGCTGAGGATAGACAGAGAGTGGGAGGAGGAATATGGTGACACAGAGTCTCAACAGTATAAAGATTTACAGAAAGCTGTGATTCCTTGGGTAAGTGGTTGGAGAGAGAGAGAGAGAGAGAGAGAGAGAGAGAGAGAGAGAG